CAAAACGAGTTGACTTTTGGAATTTAGAGTTGGTGTCATTCACCGTATTTCCTTGGTGAATCCGGTCTCTGTCCCAAAGGATAAACATTACAGTAGAGATTTTAATACTTCATCTGTAAGCTGTCTAATATCCATTGTAATGTATTTTCATACAATCAGCCGAGATGATCAATGCCAGGAGAAAGAGGACTCAAATCTCTACAGCTAAAGGTGTAAGCTTCTCCTGCTAACGTTGAGACTCAGCTGTGTTAACTTGGCCGTGTATTTCTTAACTAAGAAGTTTGCCATTACGGATGGGCAGAGACCCATAGCGGATTAGTTGTGGGTGTATTTACTGTCCATTACTCAGCCTAGGCAAAACACAGAAGTTTCACGATGGCTTTTTTGCGACCCTGTATTTCCCTGAGTCGTAGAGAGTAGAGGCAGTTTGTCTCACCATTTAACATAGTGTAATTGAGGTTTAGGCTCATTTTCTCTAGTTTAAGTTCTATGAAAGAACCAAATATGTGAGCAAGTGTTCTCACTGTTGTGGCAAGTCCCGTGGATTTTGACCCTGCTTCTACTCTCACTGAAACCAACGGCAAAACTTCTGTTGACTTTAGGATCTCGCTTTGGTGTAATGTGATAATGACAAGCTTCAGTGAAGTAAAACGATATTTCACTTTTCACTTATGAAATAGTAATGTTTAGTATCATCAGAACAAAAGCTCTTAACAAGTCGTGCTAATCTTACAGCATTCAAAAGATCTCATTTGCAAATTGGAATGAGCCGTATCATTAGAAAAAAAACTTTTTATTTGCAAGAAGCAGTTAGGAAGTGCTGTGCCATCCAAATTCTTAATTAAAAGTAGAACAATCCCTTTTCCCCGTTGCCCTACCCTGCGTCTTACTGTAACTTTTTTTTTCCTATTGCAAAGTTTGATAGCAAAAGGGATGTATGATTCATGTCTGTTTCAGTGAAATCCAGACAAATAAAACCCCAGCAGATAGCTTGTGTTTTAATGTGCATAAATCTTATTCTGGACAGTGCGCTCTACACACCCCTCTTTACTCACCGAGCGCAGAGGAGGCGGCTGGCGTCGCTGGGCTGTGCTCCCAGGAGCCGCTCCGCGGCCAGCACAGCAGATAATCCTGAGGCTGCCTGGGAATCCGTCCGCGCAATAGCAAGTGCCTGATCCAAACGCAGGAGCCTCCTGCCCACAGGCGAGGGAAGTCTGTCAGACCTTTTCTGCGCATGAGGGTAGAATCAGAGCCAGCGACCTTTGAAAAGGCATAGGTAGGTGGCCAAAGGGGTGCGAGTGCCCAAGCAGTTAAGGCACTCAGTCTTTGAGAATGCCTCCTGAATATTTGGAGCTCAAAACCAGTGCAGAAAGGTAAGGGGAGGAGCACATTTTCCAGGGAGGGTAGAACAGAGGTTATCAGCTTTCGTCTGAAAGTGTTTGGTGCCGTTAGCCTATGAAATAAAGTAGGTTAATATGATACTACATTTTTTACCTGAAAGCGAAACGTCAAGGAGCAAAGCTGATATTGCACTTCTTTTTTGCTTTGTCCCCTGTAGAGAATGAGGCATCGTTCAGTTCTAACTTGTTTAAATCCAAGTAGTAGGGAAATACAGGTTTTATGGGATAAAAATACACACTGTTCTAAAAAATCTTGAAATTTCGGTCTTTGTTGAATGTGCAGATAACTGCCACTCACCCCTTTACCCTTCAAACTGCACTTTTGCATGTTTGGGTAAAAATCCTATCCTCAAGGTCATGGGATTCAAACTGTGTCGAACTGGGAAGCAAATGCTCTAGGCAATACGATGGGAATTTCCCGGGGTGCTCAGTCACAGCCCTTCTGGTGGAGGGCAAGGGAAGCCCGCTTCTGCTTTGATCAGCACTTGGTGTGTGATGTTAAAATTTGATGTTGTTCAAAACGTTATTGATGCCTATGAAGAAAGAACGGTCTCTTTCATTAACTGTCATCACTAAGGGGAAGCTGGCACTGCTTTAGTTAGTTTTTAATAGAGTGGAGGTTCTCTGTCACCTTTTCTGATTTGCTGTTGTTGCCTGTGTGGCACTGCGGGGTGGGAGAGTGAGGTGCTCTGCTCTGCTGGTAATTTTGAGAAAGTTTCTCTGCCTCAGTTTTCCCATTGTTGAAACCAGGCAATTATGGTTTTTTATGTTCTAAGTGTATCTGCAGTTTTTTATAAAGCTGGTTATTTTTTTCTGCCTTTTAATTCAAGCAGTCAAATGTGACCAATAGTAACAATTAGTGACTCATTTAGTAATTTAACTGGAAACCTTTCTTAGATTTATTTTGCTCATAAAAATGGTTGTCTCTAACAAATAAAATGTTCTACAGTGCATTGTAACACAGCAATTTTTTCACAAACAAGTCATGATTTAGAGAACAATCTTTTATTAATGTTTTAATTTAATTTTAGTACATCATTCATATTAATGCATGTCACATCATAATGCCTTTTTAAGTACTTTGAGAATATCAAATAAGACACTTAAAAATAACTTCAGGAAATAAAATTATGGTCTGTTTAAGAACAATATGCAGACATATCTGAGTACATATAACTGTAGTGTTGTGCATATTCTTCCTTTGGTGATGCTCAAGCACCTTATTTAACACAGGAGTCAGAATTTATTTTTAATGTGGGAAGAGGCACCAGGCCTTGTGAGATGAAAAAACACCTTTGAGAAATATAATAAAAATAAGCAGTCAGCCAAAAAGGAACAGGAAGAAAGAACCAGCCAACAGAGAAAGCTGTGTTTTGGAAGTCAAAACTACAGGACTAAAGTGATAATTGCCAAAAGTCAAGTTGAGTTAGGTCTTTAAAGGATATTAAAGCAAATAGCGAAAGGGTCTTCGGTTGTATAAATAAAAAGAGAAGGAGAGAAATTATCTTCTGTGAAATAAGAGTGGGGTGGACATCAGAGATAATCCACCTATAGCTGTCAAGCTAAATGAATATTTCAGCAAAGACAATGATGTTGATATTATTCAGAAATCTTTTAAGTCCTGTATGTGATGTTCATCTGCAATTTATTATCTAAGTCTTGTCATCCATGTTTAGGAAAGATGCATTCAGATTGGAGCTGCGTAGAAAATAGCTAGGTTGGGGAAGGGAAACTCTTAGAAGAGATAGAAGATCTAACTTGTTTATAAGGAGTAAAATGCAGGCTGAGAGGGGATGTGATTATTGGCTAGAGTGTCCTTCAGGCTGGTAAACAGTACAGAAGGAGAAGCGCTGCTTCAGCTGAGTGGTGTCTTTGTCACACGAACAAATTGGTACAAACTTGTTATGACTTCTAGAATTGAGAAAGCAAGTTGCTAGCTGTCAAAACAGTGAGCAGGAGGAGCAAGAAACAGAAACACCTAGCTGTTTTTTAAGATAGTGCTCAACAAATCAATGGAAGGATTATGTGTTGCAGTTCCTGGTCATAACATAGACTTGGAATTGATAATGCAGAAGATGTCTGCCAGTCCTTGTTCATACATGAACAGTCATTAAGTGTTAATCTCTCCTTCTTCCCTCCCTTTTTTCCTTCCACACCTAAACTGCAGTGGGTTTAAAAAGATGCTGTCCCATCGTGACCTCTGTAATTACTGTTGAGCACAATTAGGTAGGAACTGGACAAAGCTAATGCAGGACTTTTTTTCTTAGCGTGGAATCTGTCAGGTGAGGACAGCCACATCTTCCTGAGTTGAATGAAGGAAAGCATATTACTACGAGTGGTGGGTTTTCATGGAAAATGTGTGTTTGCAAATCTGAGAAATGTTCTGTTTGTTCAGATCAAGTAATTTGAACCAACATCAGTAATACAAATTAGAACAGCTTAAGAAGTGGTCTGAAGCTGTTCTACCCAGTTTTCTTAGAAATGCTCATATGATTTTATTTATTCGTTGAGTTACTCTGTTACAGGTTTAACTTCCCCCATTTTCTTTGCTTATTCATTACAGCTGCTTACTTAATTAGGGATGGGAGGGGAAAAACATAATGATGAAGAACGTCTAAAAAACCCCCAATTCTTAGCTTGATTGTACTCCTACTGATATCAATGCCAAACTTTGGTGTTTTAGTGGCAATAGAAGCAAGGATTAAATATCATTTAGTCTGAACATTGAAATTAGACCAAGAATGTCTAAAATACAAATTCAGTCTAAACATTTTCTGGGATTGTTTTAAAAGGAGTGGTATCTTTCATGTAGATATATGTTAAAATTGTAACACCTCCCAGTTTTCAGTGCCGAGTTACCTTCAGTATGCGCATGACTTAACCTCTGCGCCTGGCTTTCCGGATAGCGGAACTTGGCTGTGGGGTGGGCATGGCATGAACACAAACCTTGTGTATACAGGCAGTGTGGGTGAAGCCGTCATGAGTCAAAGAGTAAATGAACTTGAGTGCAGCGATACATGCTTTTCCAGAGGGACTAAGGGATGGACACTTAGAGATCTTCAGGTTATGAAAAGCATAGGTGTATGGCCTGCTTGTTGTGTTTTAAATGGGATCTGAGTGTAGCAGTGCTTTTGGAAAAGACTATCTGAGAAAGCTTAAGATGGTTAAAAAAGCAGATGCCCAAAGTGCTTGCAGGCATAGTGGTATTCTTATAAATTCGGGAAATAAGGCATGAAGAGTTTGAAAACATGCCACTTCCAAGACTACTAGGGAAAGCCTGTTTTCTTCCATGACTGAATGCTGCAGGACTTAAATGTTCCCTGCCAGGAGCTGAGCACTACCAACCACCTTTGAATAGGACTTTCTCAGCTGAGCTTCCTCATTTGCCCAGCAGCTGCTTCATTTCACTGCAGTGGTGGCCAAATTGCTTTCTGTAGGCAATGTGATTTGGTAGTAAAGTTTCACAGTGCGTTTTGAGTAACGATGGGAGATACAGAGGTAGCCCCAAATATCAGAAGGTACAAGCCATTCCTTCAGATCACTGAGGTCCCACTGCGTAAGTAAGTAAGTGTTGTCTTTACTAACTGTTTTGTTCACTAGGTGATGACAATTCTGGAAGGAAGGTGATTACCTTCAGTTGCTGCCGTATGCCCCCCTCCCATCAGCTCAATCACACCAGATTGCTGGAGTAAGTTTCTCTCAATCTCCTGCATGGACTACTTTACATTTTATATGTGAACTTCTATTAGCTTGTTTCCAGGTGAATGAGCTTTCAGGGAGGAGAAGCAGGAGGCAGGGAGTGAAATGAAAAAAGGATGTAAGACCTACTAGTGTTAATACCAAGTGAATGAGATGTGGATGAAACTGCCAGAGTTACTTCACCTGGAATCTTGACTAGAAGAAGCAATTCACTGTGTACTGAAATTAACTTTTTGTCTTGATTTTATTAACAAATTCTGATAGTATTTAAAAAATTGAATTTATTATGAGGATCAATGAAAGAGAAATTCTAGTATTTTAATGCTTTGTACATATGTTCTCATGAATAGCAGTGTTTGCCTTAATTTGCTGTACTTCATCTCCTAAATCACTCAGCAAGAGCGTTGTTTAGTTATTTACATCTTAGTGGGTTTCCTCTTTTATAAAAAGATCTGCATTACGTATGGTATATTATGCTTAACATTTTTATATGTATCTCACTTTGTAATGTTTGGTTTTTTTGTGTTAAAGGAGGTTGTGAATATGTAAAATCACAACGTTCTTCCTTATAAACTTGCTGCCCCAAGGTACCAGGACATGTTTCTGCCTTGTAGTTTGTCACTACAAGGAGATCTGTTCTGCCGTGAAAGTCCTGTCCTTATTAAGCCTATTTGGAGTTCTTGTACAGCCTCCGTTGCCAAAATGTTTGAGCACCTTTCAACCGTCAGTACCCACCACCTTTGGAAAGGACCGAAGTGCTGTTATCTCAACTTTTCAGAAACGGAGAGAGATTGGAAGACAGGTTATTTCAGAGATGTGTTTGAGACCATGTTGCTTCATTTGTATGCTCTTCACAGCTAGGGTATTTCCACAGCCTTAAGCCAAAGCTTCGGGTGTAGCTTAGAGGGAGTGTTAGTGCCTAGGAGGAAGAGCCTCACCAGTCAGCTCCTCACCTAGAGGAGCTACCTGCACCGATTAATAGGAAATGCCAAAGAAAGGAGTGTGACAAACCATGTTGCTACCGGATCTAAGAACCCTTCCTCAGTTCTGTGAGGAGGTGCCTTGATGAAACTAGGATTTCCAGCCCTCAGATTCTTCTGGACTTGAACTTACATGTTTTCCTGTATCTGAGCCCACATCAGATGCACTTGGAAAGTCTGTGCGAAGAGAACTGAAGGCAGGTGTCTGAATGTGAAGCTAGCAATCTAAATATCAAGTGATCTGCTTTTGAGTAGTTAGACCCAGATGTTGAGTTTTGAGGGAAAACTGCGGAGTAGGCCCAGATTGGTAGGTGTTTTCTGATGAAATCACTTAAAGAATTGATTTGGTAAAGCTTTTGTAATGTCCCTGCAATTCTGTTGCAGCCTTAGAACAGGTAGTGGACTGTACAAAAATACTGGTTATTTTATGCCCACAAAACTCTCTCAATTATTTTTAGAAGTACAAGCTTTCTGGATGCAATGTGCCAAGGATTTTACATGCTGTAAAATAAAACATGAGGCACTCTGTATGTAAGAATATCTGTTTAGATATATTGTAATTTCAAACTCTTTTTAAAGAAGTCTTGAATGACTGTTACTACTACTTCTTTCATTAAAATACCCTTAATACTTAAGTCAGGGATCAAAACAGCATTATATTAATTGAAGTGGCAGTCCTTGTCCCAGGCTGTTCACAGTCTAAGATTTACAGAATGCTGAGGGAATAAGCAGATAAATGAGACTGCGGGCATACAGTGTAACAGTGAAGTTACGTGCTTTTCCATGCTAAGGTGGATAGTCAAAGTGGCCTTGGTACTTGCAGATAGCCACAGCCTAATAAATGGCACATGGAACTATCTATTTTATTGAATGAAAATCGCTTACATACAATTAAGAGCGATAGCTGGGGCTCTGTCGCAGAATAATAAGATAGCATTGAGAATGACATGAGAAAGTTGAAATCTGACACAGCAAGAGATGAGGCCAGATTGTGCTCCTCCATCATTGCTTTATTTGAATCATTGAGCTGTGTAATAGGCCATACAGTGTTCTCAATTGTAGGAGAAAGGGAAGAGAAAAGCATCTTAAACTATACCGTTTAAGAATGAACACACAGAAATCTGCTTATAAAACATGCGGTATTATTTCAAGATGGGATAAGTAGTATAGTTCTTTAAATTAGTTTTAAGGGAAATGATCTATGAACACAGTCCCCACAATACAAACAAGGGAAAGACAAATATATTCAAGAAAACAGTTTACAGTAACAAGTTGTAATTGGCAGTAATTAGGGCTAATGGATTTTTCAAGAATTTAAAAAGTTTTAAATTGAGAGGAAAACCTAAGATTTATTCTTTATTATTTTGAAAAGTCAAAATGAATTTACGAAGACCAGAAGAAAGCAAAATAGAAGTCACTGTCAGTTAAAATGCATCTTTTTTAAAAATTTCTTGGAAAACACAGTACCATATTGTCTTCATCTTTTAGTGATTCTTGAGCACCATAGTTTTTGTAACTAAATACGTTCTTTCAAGTTTCAGGCTTTGCAGCGATGTGGAATTATTGGCAACACTGTCACTAGAGCAAGATGAACTTGTTAGATAAATACATTGAAGGAAACGTGAATTTGCATTCACTAGCATTCTGTTCAAAAATAGCACATTTTCTTTCTCAGTTACTGCTTTAAAAATCTCATCCAGTAAACTGTCTTAAAACTAAAATGTTATCTTTCTCCTCAGGTACTTAAAGTATACTCTGGACCAGTATGTAGAGAATGATTATACAGTTGTCTACTTTCACTATGGCCTGAAGAGTCTGAATAAACCATCTCTGAAATGGTTACAAACAGCCTACAAAGAATTTGACAGGAAGTATGTCTCCAAAATACTTGGTTTACTCTCATGGTTGTGTAATGCCTGTAACTAACTTCTGTGAAGGAAGCGGATCTTTACTGATCCGCCTGCAGCTAACTGAGTTCATTTTGCCATTGCAAATTCTTGTAATGATACTGGTGCTGTTGGTTCTCTTGTGTCTTCTGTGCAGTACTAAGGAACGGCCCGAGTGCTGCAGTGGTTTCCCAAAGGTATAAAAAGCCTTGGGACAAAACCAAGAGCCTTTGCCTTTTCTGTGCACTGTTTGACAAGACACCTTTTTAGTCATCATTCTTGATTATCTCACAGTTGTGTTTGAACCTTTTATCATCCCAAGGCTAGGTTGTATACAAAAAAGGAAAGATTAGTTTTTAACAGTCCGTGTCTCACAACCCTTGCGGTGTTCGCTGGTTGCTATATGTAAAGCCCCAAAGGGGCTGCTGTGCTCGTATGTACCTGACCTTTGGAGTAACAATGGCTGTGGCTCCTGGCTTCACGTTTTATTTGGTTAGGGTGCAGCTGAGGCCAAAGCTCCTAGATAAATAGCATTTTAATAGTGGAAACTAAAGTTCTGATGTTTATTTTCTGAAAATGCACGCTTGCTAGTGGAGCTGAAGTTCCTGTTGAAGTCAGTTACTCTTGTTTGCAAGTTGCTACTTGATCTACTTGTTTGTCAGTTGGCCTCAATATGGCAACGTGACTGAAAGCAAAAATATACACAAATGGCTCTTTCCTGATAGTGAAAGTGTATGTGCATGTGCATTTTGGGGGGATGGATCACACGTGTCTGACTTTTTTTCAATTTTGGAGCTAGAACAAGGAGCAAATCTCATAAAAGATGCCGTGAAAAAGATTATTGGGAGTTTCTAGACTAGACTGAGATACAAATTCCTGAGCATTTCACAGGACTGCACACCCTGCTTTGAAAATTGAAGTTGAGACGTGCACAACACCCTTTGGTGGTCTGGTGCTAGAGCTCAGACTCTTCTGAATCTCACCGAATAACCTCCTGAAACTCTAAAACCCATTAAGCGAGAAGATGAGGTTGTACATAGCAGCCCTCAGAGCTGCTGTGGGAAGCTGTCATCTGAAGCCTCTAACCGCTTTCATGAGATACTGCTCTCCACTCAGCAACAGACTGAGAAAGCTTTTTGGTTTTGCTAGTAGGCTTCTGAGTATGGTTAGTACAATGTATCTATTTTTTCTGGGACTGGGTAAGGGAGAAGAAAGGTAAAAGATCTCTTATATTTTGTCTTGGGTGAGAGATTTGGACTACAATACTGTTTTTTGCTGTGCACAGACAAGTCCTGAAAATAAAGCACTGTATGGAGTTAGAAGCCTACACTACCATACTGTCTTCCTTCTAGGGGAATCCCAAGCCAAATTTACAGTGGCTCTATGGGGAGAAGCAGTATAAAGGCAATATCTGCTTCAGTTTTGTTGCCTTCTGACATGCGTATGTCTCAAGTGCACAGTCACACTCGTTAATGCCAGAAATGTGTTTTCTCCGTTCCCCGACTCTGACCCAGAAAGCAGGACAACCAAAGAGGAACAGAGAAGCCCAGGTAGCTGGGCAAAACCAGGCAACTGTCTACCCCTCATTTTATTCACAGCTGGGACTTCTTAGCATACTGTCATTGAGAAGCTTAAAGCAGTTTTCACAGCCCAACATGTATGTTCCTCTGTACTAGCCAGAGGGGAAAAAAAAAATAGCACCTTTCAGACTTCTTCCGTGTGTGTTTTGGGGGTCAAAGAAAAGAGAGAACAAAGGACAGTACAAGGGACGATAGTAATTAGCTAGCATCATGAAAGCAAATGTTCAACAGGAATAGTTTCAAAAGAATAGATCTTTCTTTGAAGGTTTACAGCAGAGGCTTAGTCAAGGCTTGTGGGCATTTAGTTGTAATCTAGGAAAATTTGAAGTACGTAAACTTCCATGGAAGCAATGGCTTATTCCCATTGCTTCAAGGTACAAAACAAACTTAAAATGGAAACTTCAGTAAAGCAACTTAGGTGTTTTGCTTGTTAGGTTTTATTGTTGATTTTGGGTTCTTATCCACAGTGGTGCCAATTGCAAAGGGATAGTTGTTTGCTTGTGTATGATAGTGGCTTTGGGAAAACAATGCCTTTTCATTCAAAGATGTATGGGCCCAATTAAAACCCAAAAGGAAAAACTGTTGTTATTGCTGAGTTGGTCCCTTTTTCCCCCTCTTACCATAACCTGTTACAAGAAGGTTTTTCTCAGGAGTTCACGATCATTTTTTTCCATGATCAATGTTTTTCTAACAATGAATGGTGAACACCTGGGAGGGCCACTCCCTACTGGGAAGCAAACTTGGCAAAGTAATAAGCAACAATTTACATATAAAAGCAGGATATTTCATTATGCATTTCTGTTGTGTTTTAACCCCAGCCAGCAAATAAACCCCAC